GTGGCTATCACTGTAATGAGAAACTGAAGCCAAACAAATGAGACAGTTTTGAGTGACAGTTTTCAGATTGTGATTGCACACATTATGATCACATAATAAGGGGTTCACATAATTATGATCTCCTGATAAGGGGTTATGGGAATGTTCTACAGAGTAAATAAGATGAGGGGGTTAGAGTAAGGCAACATTTACTGTAAATTTGGGCTTGGACATATGAAACAACAGGCTACAGATGTGTCATTTCCATAATATGATATAAAATAACTCCTCATTCTTAGAAATTTCCAAGCCACAGTAAATGATAGATGGATGATTGGGACACAGAATCAGAATGCTGTATGATGAAAATGAGGTATTGATTTTGTGAGATTTTAATTTAGATTAGTTCACTTAGAAAAAAGTCATAAATTGAAATGTACTCGGCCCAACTCACATTCAAAATGACTTATCAGGATTCCAAAATGAAACCTCAGGCAAGTAATAATTTTAACTGGAGCACTCACCCCAGTCGTCCACTAAACTACAGCATCTTTGTGAATAATTTGGACAAGAATGAGACAAGTGGTATGTCTCAGGATGATGGATGGGAACTTGAGCTTCAGTGCCAGGAGAAAAGATGGGAAAAGAACTGGAAATAATTGTCTGGCCACAATAAATTAGAAAGACAAACATCTGAACTATTAGAAAAGTGATTCAACTCAAGCCATGCCATATATTTGTGCAATGCCTAGTTCGGTTTGGTTTCAGATGGTCAGATGAAAGTCACTGTCTGTAGGAAAATATAGAATTGGAGCTTTTTTATTCATATCTAGGTTTTGTCAGATGTGAATTGGTTGGTGTTCAACTTCATTTGGAAAGAATTTTTCATTTAGTCATTTTACATTACATATGCAGTTAAATCAAATAGTGCATATAACACAAAGCTTGGTGTATTGTAGGAGAATAATGGTAATTATGATACTAACAGTGTTTGAGCTCTTATTAAAGGCCAGGCCCTGAGCTAAGCATTCTTATCATTGCATTTAATAAGTAGTTCAGAAAGCATCATGTCTCCTTATGTGCAATCACATCTCACTTTTATTTTTAGTTTTACATTTTCTATACCAAAATCATGACCATAGGCTGGATATTCTTGCGTTTTTTATATGAACAGTAGTAATTGAAGACATAAGTAGCTTGCTATGCATTTACTGTGCTCCCTTGCTTTTTCTGGCAGTTCCTGCCATTCTCAGGGTTAGTATTTGTCTTGCACAGCCCATGCACACACATGCACATGCACAAACACACACAGATGTTCTTACAAAGCTTCCCAATTTAAGTAGCTTTTCCTTCTGACCCTTTTTGAGGACTTGGCCTTTTAAGATTCATTTTTTGCCAGGTGACCATTACAAAGTGATTTTGCTCGTATACACAATTTATAGTATCCATCTCTGGAATTGTTAACTGCCCTTCGTAAAGAATGACTTAGTTTCTGTTCTGGCTCTTTTATAATAGCTCAACTTTCTAATCTCCACTTTAAAGGATTTCTCTTTTGTAGGTTCAATACTCACCTCCTTAGAAGTGAAGTTCTTTGTTGAAGGTTTAGCTTCTGTAGCATCCTGGGATGCTTCAGGGGCCATTAAGCTTAATGAGTTATAAATTTTTTTCCAAAGTGCCTATGAGGTACCTACTGAAGATAACTTTAACAGGTCCTCTTGATTTATTACAAAGAAAGTCTCTTTCAACAAAAGCTTTCAGGCTGAACTTTCATTCTAGTCTAAGAGCAGCAAACTTTTAGTCTCAAGTGCTGCATAATACATCATATGCCATTTCTGTATTCTTGGGCTATTATATAACCAAGCTATCAGTTACATCAAAGCTTGTCTGCCTACATAAAGATGCATTGACAATAGATAAATCCCTTCTTTCCAATTGTTTTTTTCCATAGAATTCCATTGAACGAGGATCACTTTTTTCCCTTTGAAATGAGATTTTAAATTTCACATGTATTTATCAAGAAACTGTCAAAGCAGAATAGGTAATTTTTATCATAGTTTTTTTTTCCACAGAGCCTCTAAAAGACAAACCCCATGAAACATCACAGGACATTTTCAGAGGCAAGCCTTCAAAGCATCCCTTTTGCCCAGTGGTGCCCATCTCATAATGGAGCCCCCTAAGTCCTTCACATCCTACCCACCCTATTTGAGGATTCAAAGGGAACTCCAGACCCAGAAGAAGACGCCAAGCCCTTGCATGGAAAAGGCAGGAGGAGCCCTTTACTAGCTGCTTGGTGACGTCAGGAGTAGCAGCCCGTGGGAGGCAGCTATATGGGGTCATTGTCCTACTGTCTATCATGATAATCAGTGCTTTCAGGGTGCTGAAGGGTCCCCCTGGCCTTCACCAGTCCTCCACGCTTGAGTCAGCCTCTAATGTCTGTAAAAAGATACAGCCCAGCATAAAGAACCTCAGTTCTGTAAGCTTCGTCTTTCACCTATAGAATAGCCAGCCAAGATCAGAATGGCACTCAAGTCACTGTAGGACCTTCAACAAGTTTCTTACTCTCTGTGACACCCTCATTCATAAAGTGGGGGAAATTCATTCACTTCATAAATATTTTTGAGTGTTTATTATGTGTCAGAAACTGTTTTGGGTTGCAAGAATCCATTGGTATCAAAAAACAAAAATTAGCTTACATTACACTAAAAGGATTTAGACAATTAAGAAGCCACATGAGTCCAGTATTATGGAGAAGAGTTAAGCAGGGAAACAGACCAGAAATATAAGTCAAAATGGCAATTTTAAATATGGGAGCCTGGGAAGGTGTTTCTGAGCTGTGATATTTTAGCAAAGACTGGAAGGAGGTGGGGTGAATCACAGGAATATCTGGGGGAATGGCCAAGAAGTAAAAGAACCAGATCTGATATGAAGCAACCTAAATGTCCATGAATAGATGAATGGATAAAGAAGATGTGGTATATATACACAATGGAATATTACTCAGCCATAAAAAGAAAAGAAATCCTGCCATTTGCAACAGCATGGATGGAGCTAGAGGGTATCGTGTTCAGTGAAATAAGTCAGGTGGAGAAAGACAAGTACCAAATGATTTCACTCATTTGTGGAGTATAACAACAAAGCAAAACAGAAGAAACAAAATAGCAGCAGACTCATAGACCACAAGAAGGACTAGTTGTTACTAAAGGGGAGGAGTGGGGGAGGGTGGGCAGGAAGGGAAAAAGAGATTAAGGGGCACTATAATTCAGAATCACAATATAGGTATGTCACTGGGATGATAGTACAGCACAGAAAATACAATTAATGACTCTATAACATCTTACTATGCTGATAAACAGTGACCACAAGGGAGGGAGGGAGGGAGGTCTTGATAATAAATGGATGAATGTTGAACCACTGTATTGTGTATGTGGAACCATCATAAGATTGTATATCAATGATACTTTAATAATAATAAAAAAAGAACCATATCTGAGAGGATGACTGAGTTCCAGGAAAAGCAAGGAGCAAGAGGTGGTGGGAGAAAGTGGAACTGGGGAGAATAATAACAGGTGAAGTTGGAGAGCTGGTGCAGGGACAGGTTTTATGGGGCTTGTCATCCTTTGTACTACATTGGCTTTTGAATGAAAAGGAAAGCCATTTCAGAGTTTTAAGCAGACTGATAGGATCTTAGAGTTTAAAAGAGTCACTCTGACCTTTTGTTTGGGAACAGAAGGGGACAAGTTTGAGGCAAGACAGAAGCAGGGAGATAGCTTAACAGGCAACAGTGGTTAGTTATCTAGACAAAAGGTGATGGTAGCTAGGGCCAGGAGGCGGTAGGAAATGATGAATTTTGGGCATATTTTCAATGTAGAATCGAGAGGATTTACTGACAGTCAAGATGTGTGATGTGAGAAAAAGAGAGGAGTCAAGACTGACTTGAACTTGAGCAACTGGACATAGAAATGTGCTGCTTTCTGAGTCCGGGGAATCTGCAGAAGCAGGTGAGCTGAGGGCCCAGGTTTGGTTTTGTACATGTTTGAGAGGCCAAGTAAACTTCTAAAGGAAAGTACTGAGTTGAAAGTAGTGCTTATTACTTTGACGGTTTTGAGAATTAAATGGGCTTTATCTTCTGGCCTCTCTGCAATCACGGCTGCCACCACATCATCCCACCTACCCCATACTCAGTCACATCAGACTATTTTTCTCATCTCTCTATCTTTCCACACGTAGTTTTCTATCCCAGGATGATGTCTCCTTACCCACTGATTCCCTTCATTCTGCCTATTTCTTATTAGCCAATACTTAAATTAGTTCTATCCAGCTCCTCCCTTCTTTATTTTACAATTTTGAGAGAAACCCAAATTGTTGTCATTGTTTAAGACAAAGCAAATATTACCTCCTCCAGGCAGACCTCTGTGACCTCTCTGGGCAGAGGTCAGAGATGTCCTCTGAGCACTCATAAGGCCTTTCTGGAGCTTTAAGGACAAACTTGATCAGATTCACTACTAATTAACAATTAATTACTTATCTCTGTACTTATTAAGTTACACAAGTCTCCCCTAGCATGCTCTAAGTCCTGTGGAAGATGAAATTGCCCTATTTCATAAGAAGTATTTAATAAATATTTGTTGAATAAGTAAATGAGTATTTTAAATAGCAGAAATAAAATGTAGAAATCATCACTTGAAAAGAATTTTTGTAATAAGAACATTTGTTGTGAAATTGATTTAATAAGCCACAAATCTTGAGTGGTTATCTCTGCTGAAGCTTTTCCTACCACTCCGTTTAGTCCTGTTGTCTGCCACAATGCCTGCCACTGAGGAGACACGATTTAGATGTTTTCTCAAAGAGGGGCTGAATGGTCTGTGTAATTATGGAGGTCTAGTCACTGGAATGAAACTCAGAACTTTAACTTCAGTCACTTTGATAAAAAGTACCCTTCCGAATTATTTCGTGATAGTAATTTTGCCACAATCTTCTAGAACGAATTTATTCTTAAACATTTCTTAAAAGTTCCAGGCATCATGCTTGCTTCGGCAGCACATATACTCAGATTGAAACGATACAGAGAAGATGAGCATGGCCCCTGTGCAAGGATCACATGCAAATTCGCAAAGTGTTGCATATATTTTTATGATTGGCACGCATGGTGTGTGTGGGGGTCATAGGGAGGACAGTGTAGCACAGAGAAGACAAGTGGTGACTGTGGCATCTTGCTGCGCTGATGGACAGTGACTGCAGCGGGGTGTGGGCGGGACTTGATAATGTGGGTGACTGTAGTGACCATAGTGTTGCTCATGTGAAACCTTCATAAGAGTGTATATCTGTGATATCTTTAAAAAAAATAAAGATTAATTTTAAAAAGTTCCAGGCATCAAAGCCACCTGTCAACATTTGTTCGCCAACATCAGATAGTTAAGAAGCAATTGCTTTTGTAAACAGCAGCTGCCAAGCATTTCTGAAAGAGGGGCCCAGGGTGTTCTGATGAATGCTGAGTTCGGCATCCCTAACGGTGCCATGTTCTTTCCCTCAGGCCACTTATCTCCCCAGAATGCGCTTTTCCTCCATTTCACCTGGCTAATTTCTCCAACCTAACATCACTTCCCCCAAGAGTTCTTCCCTGATGCTCCAAGATAGATGTGAAGCCCTTTCTAAATGTTCCCAGATCACTCCACACATCTGCCTATCAAAGCAAGGGTCCCTTTTCATTATAGATTCTTGGTCAGTTGCCTGCATCTTTCATTTGTTAAAATTTCAGCACATTTAACCCAAAGACTGCAATATTGGAAGCACACAATAAAGATTCATGAAATAATCCAGTAAGTTTTGATAGATGAGGATAATTGGAAAAGCATTGGTGGACAGAGCTCTTTGGAAGTCTGACTTCCATGGAGAGTCCTAGAAATAGAATGTTCCAGGCATCAGAAATCAGACTTCATCTATCCTACAATTCAGGCTGGGCCAATCCCACTAATAGTGCCCTGGTAAAGTCACCATGACTGAGTCATGCTCTTAAGATATTCCTTAAATCTCTTTTAAAAGGTATAATTTGCCTTAGAGGATGAGAAGGCCTAAGCTACATAGTGTTCTTTACAGCTCTTCAGTTTTTCAGTGGTGAATAATTGTATCTGAAATTGAGGTGTGACAATCTCATTGTCTCTCCTGAAAGGAAATTTCATTATCACTCCCACAAAGCTTCGGGCCTTCCTGGGGCTTTCAAACTACATCTGTGGTAAGACTGGAGTGTTTCCCCTCTTTTTTGTCCCTTTATTACACAGAGGGTCATTCTAAACTAGACTTGGAATAGGGAAATAGGGGTGGCATAGGGACGTCATGATGGATTTTGTCATATTTATTTTCCTGAACATCCGTAGAGCTTCCAAAAATGCACCTGGGCAAAACCTACTTTTGTGTTTCTTTGCTTCTCTGCCAATATCCTTTGTGTCCACAGCAAATAATGTATGAAGTCCTTGAAACTACCGAACTCACATTAGTTGTGGGAGCAGACTGAGTACAAATTGCAATTAGAGCACCACTGGAAAAAGAAATCAGTTTTCAGATGATTCTAAATCCACTTAACATGCAGGAGGTGTGTTTAGTGGTTGAAATAGGAAAGGTCATTGTCAAGTTGCAGCAATCACCTCATGATTCATGCAGAAGATAAATAAACTCAGCAAAATAGTACTTACAAACTGGGCTTTCAGAAGAAAATGACTATTAGAAGTCCCAAATTTTGACTATGAATAAAATTAAAGTCAGATAATACAAACTCCTTTGCCCAGTTTTATTTGGTTCTCAGACATTCTTTTTCTAAAGAAAAATCTAGTCCTTAAATAGGCATTCTTAAGCACACACACATACACGCTCCATGTGTGAAAAATTACTAAAGCCTAATATGGAAAAAATAATTAAAAATTAAATTCTAATTCTTGCATTATCATAGATTAATACTACCTCTAAATTTATAAATTTTATTTTCAAGTTAGATGTAATATTATTTGTGTTATACCTCAAGAACAAGAGTAATGGAAGAATTAGAGCTTTCTAAGAATGATATTGTAAAACAGAGAATGACACATAAAATCATTGAATGAGTCGCATCCCAATTTTGAAATATATGATAATGAAGTCCATGCATGTTTTTGTAAATTAAAACTAATTATTCTTTTGTGACAGATAGCAGTGGCTTTTATGAAGCAGAAGACTATAGTTAAAAGAAATAATGATTTAAATTAAATTGTCTACTAAATGTAATATTTTTTTCTCAGTTAAAATAGTCCATGCAAGGTTTGTCTCAGGTTTTTGGGAGACTAACCTGCTGCTTATTTTGTCTGCCCACTGTTTTTCAGTTGACCATTGTAATTTTGGATTGTGAGCACATCTTTAGGAGACTCATGAAAATCTTGGGAGGTCTGGATTTGGGATATGTCCCAAGAAATATACTTGGTGTTTGCTTTCCACCAAGTGCCTCAGTATTTCTAACCTGGAATTTTTGTTAATTATTACT